TGCGAGAACTGAGACACCGGTGTAATATAGAGGCCATAATTAGAATAGGGTTTGGGGCCCATGATACTATAATTATAATCAGGACCAAAACAAACATAGTGTTGGTAACTATTCAGGTTTGTATATTTTTAGAGTGGCGGCTGTAGTAGAGTTTCAAAGGTTTGGCGGTCACGGACCAAGAGCAGAACCACAGGAAGATGTGGTCACAAGAAGTCATGTAGGGGCCTTAATAATTTCAATATGGTTTTGGGCTTCTTTTTTGTATGTTTGTAACACGGAACCCCCAAAAATAATATGGTAATTGTTTAGGCTTCTATATTTCGCCTTCCCGACACAGAGCCTGACCACATAAACGGATTCATGACACTAGAGTCCCGGCAACCGCGACACTGCTCCGAGGAATAGTCAGGTTTTAAGAACACCAGCTAGTGCTGCTATTTGTTTATGCCCTGTCAACGTTGGCAGAGAGAAAGGGTCACATACATTCAACAAAGTTCTGCAGTGGGTTGTTGAAAGACCTGCCGGGGGGCCTTAACTAATTGGAAAAGGGTTCGCATGGCTGTATACTACAGACGTTAGGAACACCTTGATCCTCGAAGCCGCCTCTAGAACACTAGTAGCATCTGAGGGGTGCGGGTCTTAGGGTTTTGAGTACGGTGAAGCAGTGTGATGAAACAAAATTAATCAGAAATTAGAGTCTCGAAGCTCGTCAAATTTTGAAATCCAGGGTCTCACACCGGCGTAAGTACTTATTTACAAAACATTGCTCTTATGCAGGATTCTATGCTCTTACGCTGCATTTAAGCACGAAAAACCTAGCCTGAAACTGCAACCCTAATCACCCCTTTCCAGCCCAAAATCGTCTTATCTCGGCGAGATAGGCACGTTTTCCTCTGTGGAGGCCTGCAACCCCAAAATCGTCATATCTCGGCGAGATGGGCACACTTTCCTCTGCGAAACCTGCCCAAACCCAAAAATCGTCCTATCTCGGCGAGATAAGGCGATTTTGCTTTGTGGTGGCCTGCCCAAACCACAAAATCGCGCTATCTCGGCGAGATAGGCACGTTTTCCTCTGTCCAGACCCACATGTTGCCCTGTAGAAGCTTCTTTGCTTCGGAAACTTTTTTGCATCCAAGCTAAAAGAGCCTAATTTAAGAAATCATTTTCAGGGTCTGACCCGAGCGCAGATTTCTTATTTTATCCCAGGTGAATAAAACATCTAGACCCTCGTTCCAGGAACCCGATTTCTTATCAAATCCCTCGAACGTAGCTGTTGCAGACATCTTCAGCCCCAGCGCCACCCCAGCTGTGACATCATGCAGGGATTGTGAAGCGCTGGCAGGGTCACCCTACACCCTAAACCCTAGTTGAGCCCTAAAGTCACAAGCCAACTCGAAAAACTGAACCGGAAGCTGAACCGTATAGTCCTAAAACCCATACTGTAGGTAGGGGCCTAAATCATTAGAATAAAGTTTGGGGGGGGCCAACTTACACTATAACTATAAGAAGGACCCCCCAAAAAAATAGTATAGGTGGTTATTCAGGCCCCTATACTACATAGACACAATCCTCCCTTAAACCCTAAACCCTAAACCCTAAACCCTAAACCCTAAATCCTAAACCCCCAAGCTCTCTCTGTAGCTGCGAGCTCAACACAGCTCCTGACGGGAAGTGCGGGTGCACCAAGTAGACCATGGCTGGTGGAGCTGGACCTCGTCGTTTTAGGGTTTAGGGTTTAGGGTTTAGGGTTTAGGTTTTGGGGTCTTACTTGGAGCTTTCTGGGTGGTTATAGGTGGAGCTATAAGTCCCCTAATACGGCTTATAACTATAGTTGCCCTACTTATAACCCCACTTATAACTACCCATGAACCTCCAAGTAAGGGTACCTTCAATTCTTCCTTTGAAGGGTTTAGGGGTTCTTAGTTTTTGCCGTATGGTCTTAGTGTAAAGGGTTCCTGTGCAGCTCAGGTCGGGATGCAGGTGTCGAAGTCCTCATCAGTTCGGGATGAGGGAAGTGTGCGCAAAGCAACATCCTCTCTTAGACTAGGTTCCCCAGTAGCCCCTTAATGATAAGGGTACACTTTTTCCTACTATTTGGTTTTAATAGGGCAAGAGGGTACTACTGGGGAACCTAGTAGAACTAAGAACTCAACGAGCTGAGGGTAGAAACCCAAACAACAAGCAAGACCCCAATCACTGAAGCCAGCCCCCAAAACTCCCGCAGAATCCGGATGCAGAGCCCTCTGCTTTCATATGTGCGTCGACAGCAACAAGAAAGGGTGAGGAGAGAGAGATCGAGTACTCGCACTCCGAAGCGCAAACCCCAAACCCTGAAACCGTGCATTCCCAAACGAACTGAGGAGTTCCAAAAGCCTGAAATCCTCGAAGAGCAAGCTTGATCAGGCCGAGCATCGAAATCGTGGAAGAATCCGCCCAAGCATATAATAATTTGAAACAGATAAAGAAATTAATAAATAAATATATATATATATATACCTATATATATATATATATATATATATAATATATATATATATACACACACCCCAAGGTTTAGGGTTGGGGCCCATTGGGGGCAAGGGCTCAGAAATCATAGCAGCCGCTTGCACCGCTAGGAGTTTACCATCACCAGCCCCTGAGCTCCTGAACCCGTTGAGGGTTTAGGGGTTTAGGGGTTTAGGGGCTCAGGGTTTAGGGGTTCAGGGTTTGGGGTCTAGGAATTAGCGGTTTAGGGGGTTAGGCTCTGGGGTGTACATAGGGGTTTGGGGTTTAGGGTTTGGAATTTGGGCTTCCTAACCCCTACACCCTAAACCCCCAAAACTGCTCAGCTCCTCAACCCAAGCCCCTGAAGCCTTCAACCTCAAACGCCAAGGCCTGAAGAAGTGGCCAATTGGTGTCCCCTTAAACTGCCTATGGCATGCTATAGGTATAGACCCCCAAAGCCCTGTCCGAACCCTAAACACACACCGCAACAACAAGAACCCAACAAAAACAAAAAACAAACCACCGTTAATAGAAACACGCACACACAAACACACAAACATAGCCTGAACACCCGCTAAACCCTAAGCCCTAAACCCTAAACCCTAAACCCTAAACCCAAAAACACTCAACCCTCCATGCCCTGCAGGGATCCACGAGTGCCGACACGCTGCCCGCAACTCGGTTCCGGAGAGCTTCCCAAAACCTTGGGTTCAAGGGACCGGGTTTAGGGTTTAGGGTTTAGGGTTTAGGGTTCAAGGGACTAAAAAAGATGGCCCCCGAAAGGGACCCTTGGGGTTCTGTAGGGGCTTTATGAGACTATAAACGGGGTATATGAGGATTATATAGGGTATTTGGATTAGGGGTCCCTTCTAAGGGGTCCCTCCTATTGGCGCTTAATGGGTTGAATGTGCCAGACACGTTCTGGAAGGCTTCAGTTCAGGATTCACACTACTACTGTTACTGCTGCTACTGCTGCTATTCTACTACTGCTACTACTGCTCCTACTGCTACTACCACTACCACTACCACTACCACTACTACTACTACTACTACTACTAATAATAATAATAAGAATAATAATGGTAATAATTCCGACGACGACGCCGGCGACGACGACGACGGCGGCTACCACTACCACTACAGTTACAGCTACCACTACCACTACCACAACTGCTGCTGCTGGTCACCATTCTTCAGCATACCTGGGATTTAGTACTACTTGGAGGGTCATGGGTAGTTATAAGTGGGGCTATAAGTAGGGTAACTGTACTTATAACTTATAACCCATATTAGGGGACTTATATCTCCACTTATAACTACCCATGAACCACCAAGTATGCGCAAGCATGGCACTCGCGAGGACCATCTGCTGAAGCCCACGGATCTGGTTTGGGCACCTGAAGCCAGGCCGAATGTGTCTGGGACCCTAAACCCCGAAACTTCCGGTAAAGTCCCTAAACCCTAAAGAACGAGACGCTTGGCTTTGGAGTTTGGGGTTCGGTAAGGAAGATCGGAAGACCTAGTCTGCACCACTGGAGTCTTGATGTACTGGGTTTAGGGTTCAGGGTTTAGGGTACTTAACAATAATATTCGCTAGGGCTCCCTGTTACAATTCTACTGTAAAGGAGCCCAAACCCGATTCTGATTATCAAGGCCCCTATATTCCGATGAATTATCATCGAAGTTTGGTGGAACTAGTCTTTCGAAATCGCATGTCAAACCGCACGAGCTGACAAACCTAGACAGCCAAAAAAGACAGACAAATAATAGACAACGGCCCTAAACACAATATCTTCTTACTGCTTTCGCCTCCGATCTGTGACGATCCCAACTTACTGCAACAGCCTCGCAGCAGACTGATTTCCCCGACTCTTGCTGCGAATAGTCTTGAGTGTACAAAGCCTTTTCAGGATTCTGGGTTTGGGATTTCGGAGTTCTCGTGTGTGCAGCAACCCTGAGCGCCCAACCCTTCCATCGCAAAACCACATACACCACACACTAAACGGGGCGATCCTGCGGAGCTTTGAGAGCACAAGTAGGTCTATGCAGGCCTTGTAGATTATCGCCCTTGTTGAATCCCTACTGGCACCCATAGTTCCCCAATCCCTGAGCCGGAGAAGCTATACAATCCTTTCCCTTACCCAAAATGGTCCTAAGTACCTATATGGAGGATACTTGTCCCCGTAGGTAGAAGGCCTAGGCTCTACTGTACAGGCACATATAAGAGCATCTGGGTTACTAGCACAAGCTATGCAATGATGAATCATACCCTAAACCGCCAAAGCCCTAAATTATTCATCCTCTCCCCGACTACAACCCCAAACCCTAAACTACTCCTTTCCCCTAGTAAAGCCCCAAACCCTAAACTACTCCTTTCCACTAGTAAGGCCCCAAACCCTAAACTACTCCTTTCCCTTCTTTAAACACCCCAAACCCTAAACCCTAAACCCGAACCCTAAACTACTCCTTTCCCTAATTTAAACACGCAGCCTAAACCCTAAACCCTAAACCCTCGCCTCCTCGATGCCGGTCAGACCAGCGCTGCGCAGCAAAGCTTTCACATTGGGCCACGTGGGACCTGCTCTACGGGCCCATTGTGCTTCCTTATGGCCTTGGGTTTAGGGTTTAGGGTTTAGGGTAAGAAGCTTTTGTAGGGTTCGATAGGGGCTATATTACATTTCTTTATGACCTTTATCGGATGTTGTGGGGCTTGATAGGTTTATTTACTTAGTCTTTGTTGTTTTTGTTTAGTTGTGAATGGAGGTGTTGTAGGGCTTGATGAGTGCATCACTTTGACGTCAACGACTCTTCGAGACACATCTTTCCGTCTCAACATAGATCGGCATTTTTCCGCTGTGCAGCCCGCACCTCCGCTGGAATCTACTCTTCAAGCCTTGGATTGCTTTTTGAGAAGTAGCCTGTTCCAGCCAACCTGCAGGATGCGTTTCGTGGGACCCTAAACCCTAAACTCTAAACCCCTTTCTCTTCTCGGTTGCGCAACTGCCATGATACACGAGTCCCAGCTGCTCAAAGGGTTGCACGACTTCAAGGGCATCCGTTATAACCGCAGACCACAAAAGGTAGGAACAAGTTTGTTAGGGTTTAGGGTTTAGGGTTTGTCGTTGTTGATTTTGATTCAAATACCCCAAGCCCCAAAGCCATAGGGAGGTTACAATTGCAATGGGTAGTATTGTCCTTGCTTGCTCTGGCAGACACAGCAGCAGGTTTTGCCATGACACCAGCGGGCCTTTTCATGCCAGGCTTTCCCTTTGCCTTGCCTTTGGGCCAGCCTTTTTTCTTGGGAGTGGGCTGCTGGACTGTGTGGACTCCCCCTAAACCCTAAACCCTAAACCCTAAACCCTAAACCCCTAAACCCTAAACCCTAAACCCTAAACTCTAAACCCCTAAACCCAAAACCCTATAAACCCTAAACCCTAAACCCTGGGCTGGGAGAGAAGGTAAGTCTTGGCTGGGGGCCTGGCCTTGGCCCTTAACGGAGTGGGGAGGTCTCAGCCGCTCCGGGACTGAGGACTGCAAGACTGCCCGGACTGCTGACTGCAAGTTTAGGGTTTAGGGTTTAGGGTTCAGGGTTTAGGGTTTAGGGTTTAGGGTTTAGGGACCGGCTTTGTCTGCAGCATACACAGAGGTGGGGGGAGATGATGACCAATAGCAATCATAGCTCCGCACAACCTGCCCTTACCTGCACTTCCCTAAACTCTTAGACCGTAGACCCGAAACCCTAAACCTCTCGGAACACTACAACCTGTTAGAACTCCAACATTAGAAACTTTGAAACAGGGCTCGCAGAGAACTAAGCCTATGACCCCTCCAACCCTTAAGCCTTACAGGTTTAGGGTTTAGGAGTGAAACCAAAAACGAAAGCCCTCGTAGACTCCTCAGCCCCTATTGGAGAAGTAAGCCTAACCACCCCAACCCCAAACCCTAAACCCTAAACCCTAAACCCTAAACCCAAAGCCATCAAACTTCCAGCCCTCGGCTCCGAACCCGAAACCCTAAAGCCGTGAAGGATTGAAACCTTAAAGCCCTACAGCCCTAAACCCGAAAAGTTTGGGGTTTAGGGTTTAGGGTTTAGGGTTTGGGGTTTAGGGTTTGGGGTTTAGGGTTTAGGGTTTGGGGTTTAGGGCCTGGGCTGTTCGTCTTTATGATTCGGCCTTCTTTCATAGCCACCCCTACAATAACACGTATGGCAGCCCTTCAAGTATCGTAGTTGCTTAGAGCAACCCCGAAGGTCCCTGCACCCAAATAGCAAACAAGTTGGTTTAGGGTTTAGGGTTTAGGGTTTAGGGCCTTCAAGTAGTCCGATATAGATGCTTCAGGGCCAATGTATAATGTTTGGGTATTTGGGCACCCGGACCCTAAGACCCGAAACCCTACAGCCCCTATAGAGCCCTTATCGGAACCTTCAAGACTAAACCCTAAACCCTAAACCCTAAACCCTAAACCACTTTATGGGAACCCCCCACAGGACCCCCTGGGTCCTCTTTGGGGCATGACCCTTACTCTAAGGTTAGAAGTATGGGCCCCTGAAAGGGACCCGTAAGCCTTTCTAAGGACCCTTGAGGGTACATATAGGGTATATAGTAGGTATATAAGGATCCCACCCTTAAGGGCCCATACTAGGGGCCCATGGTTACAACCTGGGACTTATTATGGCACCCTTTTTATACTTATAGTATAAAAGGAG